TGAACTTCCTAACTATACAATGTGTTCGAAGAAGTAATTTAAGATTAAGCCACTTTTTCTGCATCAGAGCCACACTACGAGTTTTTCTGACGACAAAAAAAAAAAAAAAAAAAAAAAAAAAAAAAAAAAAAAACACACACACACACACACACACACACACCCACCTATGCACTGCAACATTAGAACACTCGTTCTTTACTACATCAGTACGTAGTAATGGCGAAAATAAATCAGGGCCTCCATTGACAGCTGTGTTTCCGGCTTGGAAACAACATTGTACTGTGCCTCCAAAACTAATGACATATGATACACAAACATCAATTTTTAAAATGCAACACAGCATACATGCACAAGCGGTTCTTCAACATTCACATAATACCTACATGTAATAGATGAAAAATTTATCACCATACTACGCCAATCAGATTTCATTCAATTACACAGCGGTCTATCTGATTAAATTAAATCTGTTTCACTTTTGTAAGAGATTTTCATTGAAACCCTGTCTGTTAACGAGCACACACTGCCATGATGTCTATTAGTAGGGTACTGTAAGATGTTATTAGGTAAAATCTTTGTAAACAAATAAACAACCATCCCAATTTTTAAAATGCAACATACCTTAACTAAACAAATCAAACTTCGACATTCTCATAGAAGTTACTACAGACAACTATCTGGTTAAATTAAATCTGATTGACTTTGTGGAAGCCAGTCATCAAAACCATGAGCTGTAGAATACACATTGGCATAATGTCAATTTTTGGTAAACTGTGACTAGTTATTTGATAAAATGCCTTTTGCTAGAACTGGACCATATATTCATGAACAATTTCGATCGCAAAATATATACATTTCTCAAAACAGTTATAACTTAGGTTAAGACCCCTATAAGGAAGGAAAATAGGCAGTTGTAATTAAAAATTTCTCAATTTAACTTAATGTGAAAACTTTTAGATAAATAGACATCATTCAATATCATTGAAGTATGGAAGAGTTTTGTCCAGAACGGTGTAGCATTCTGCATGTAACAATCTTACTACAAAGTTACAGCCCACCTCACTCACCATCTCCCAAAACGAAGACACGAATTCTTCTCCAACACTATTTTTCACTTTATGTTACCTCTTATTCAAACACTCAAAATATAATGCTAAATATTCTACCCATGCTTGCAACAAATATTTACCTTCTGTGTATATTAATTCTTTTTTACTCATGAGACATGAAAGAAGTAAATAAAAAACACCAGCGACAGCAAAAAAAATACTTTTCTATTATCCAAGGTTAACAGTAATGTAATCAACGTGTCATGATAATATAAAACAAATCAAATTTGCATAATATACTACACATTTGATAACAAGGGCAGCTCCAAGGGAGTGATGCTTCAAAATGTTATGTTTGGCAAGTTTTTTACAATACTACTAACAATTAATGTAAAAATTTAATTAAATAAAAACTTGGTGGCCACATTTAAATAAACTATTTCCAATAAAAAAGTAATCTCAATTGAAAGATGTATTAAAATATTCTTAAAATGTTTTATTTTAAAACTGTTCGTAAATTTCAATATACACGCGGGAATTAATGACAAGATTTACTAGTAATTACTATAAACGTATACAAATTTAAAAATGTAGTTCCCTTTAATCTTTAAAAATGGCCCTCCGTTATGTATTATCTGAAGCCACTCTTGTATAAATATTCCAATGCATATCTAAATAAATAAAACCCACAATTTTTAAAATTGATTGTAATTAATATGAACCACCGAGTAGCTCTTCTAACTTGAGACATACAATTTGAGATCTCTACCCTCATGCTTGAGCAACAATGGTAGACCAACTGGACTAGGTGAGATTTTCAGTTGGGGTTGCTCTGATATATATTCTATTGATACATTTTGTTGCTCTGGTACATTCTACATATCATTGCTCTTTGAAAGATACTATTGTGAAAGGTTTTGAATTAATACATTGCACAATATGGGCTATAAAATATTAACAGAAATCAAGATGACTCTCAGAGAAAGAGAGAATCCCTGCGTGTGTGTGAATTTAGTTCACTGAAAGCGTATTTACAGTGCATCAGTATCAGTTGATACAACAGATCTATCAGGTTCATTAATTTAGATATTTCTAAAGTATAAACTTAATGTAATTGAAAGTTCATTTCAAAATTCAAAAATAATTTGGTATCTACTTATTCTTCAAAGGAAGCATCAAACAAATCATTAAATATTGGCATTTACTTTTCCCTAACCCACTAATTTCAATAAAAAGAATTGTTTCATTAATTTGAACTAAGTATTACTGAACATGACTTTCCTCTTTCTTCACATCTTGAACAACGCATTCTAAATCAAAGTATCAAAAACTTCAATAGGTACAATTAAAATAGAATAACTTTCTTTTAATTTTCTTGCAAAACAACTCTCTACTCTATTCATTCTTGCAAATTTCATCAATGTTGTTTCTCACATGTGAAACATTTATTCCTGGCAAAAAGAAAATAAATTCAGAGTTAATGGAAACTAGAGTCCTAAAAGAGTAATGATTTTTTTCATAAAAAATTAAAAGCAAAAATTAATTGCAAACAATAAAAACACAATGCAAATCAAACATGAAAATGGACCTTTGAACATTAAATCAGATATAATAGGTCACCACATATGATCGACCAGCACATGTCATCTGAAATAAAAATGAATACTTGAAATTCACATTTCAAAAACCTGTGATTGTAAAACACAGGAGTTTATAAGCCCTAACCCCCAATTTCATTTTAAGAATACATACCCTTCGGCCTCAAGAAAAGCAAATTATCATGAAAGCATTCAATATCCCAATTTGTAACAAATTACACTTAATATAAATACACAATGTTTCAATTTTGCATTCAACATTGCATGTGGTGTTGTCATGAAATAATGTGCTACAATAATAAATTAATAAAATGTCCAAAGTTTTTGAGTTATGCCCAATTATTGGCCATTCTCTAAGCTGTGAACCACTGCTGAAAGCACTTAAAATGTAATACTATACTATAGTTGAGAAATTTCAAAGTAGAATATTATTGTACCAAATAACAAATTTATTATATAAAATCATAAAATCACAGTTTAAGAAATCAATGCAAAGTAAAATTGTTTATATCATGAAGTTCCCAGGCTTCACAAATAATAATTGCTATTCGAATAGCCCGAAGGTCTTATGAACATAACACCAATGTTCCACTCCACGAAACGTTTGTTGAGTTCAGGACTCATTTCATTCATTAGCAATTTAAGAGTACTGATCATGCTCTAGTCCTGGAATAATAGTTCATATTTTAATTTTCGCTCTTTCCATTTTTCTCCACAAAACCACTGTCATTAAGAAGAGTTAGTGGAAGTGAACTATTCACATCTGAACTGCTACATAACTCACTGAAGCATATAAATTATAAAATTCACATGACGCACAATAATTTCATTACCAATACACACACACTTAAAGAAACTGCATAAAAAAGTCAGCAATAACAATACACCCTAATAAGTGCTTAACTATACTCCAAGAATCTTGTAAAGTTGCAACCACAGTACTACTCTAGAACAATTATTTGCAATAGAAAAAAAAAATACTGCCTGATGTATTTCTTCAAAACCAATTTAATCTCTTTAAACCAGATAAAAACCTTACGAAATAATGAAAAAACAAGTTGCTCCAACAAAAAACCTAAATTATAGTAAAAGTTAATATACAATTTTAAGCATAAGAATAGTATCACAAGTATATAATCTGAAGCAACAAATGCCAAAATATAATTCTCCTACAAAAATAATTTTTCTTCCCCAGCCATTGCTGATGAAATGATACACAATTAAAAATTACATTAATAGAAATCAATTTCAATGATTTTACAAGCCTAAGAATATTGTTCTTTATACAATGTTATTTGAATAAAAATTCCGAACATTTTAAAAACTCTTGAAACAAAAGAAAAACTTCTGCAAAGATGGAAAACCAAACAAAATCCGAAAACAATATAATTGACTATTTTATAATACTGACAGATTGAACCTTTGTTTACACCTAGAGAAAAATGTAATAATGTATAGTAACACTGTAACCTGGCATAGAAGTGGACAACACAAACATTCAATCGGGAGAGAAATACTATTATAGTATAAAATGAATTAATAGAACTTTGCAACACCCACATTGAACGAAATTCTTAACAATACCTAAAAGCGAAAGCTGAAAACATGCTGCAGAATAAAATGTTGAAAGCATACCATTTCTAACAGAACAAACCACTAAATATTATAGTAATGAAAACATCACGTACTCGCAATATTCTTATTTTTCAGAAGACTACTTAACTTCGGGGCTCGAAATAATGTAAAATGTTACACATTTAGTCATATTTTTTCAAAACTACGAACAGATATACCCTGACATGCCGTCCAAACCTCATAGTACCTTACATGAATTCATGTACTATAATATACAGACAGTAAGCAAAAGAAAATATTTGAGCTCGTCATCTTTGGGTATCGAACACAATTTTGTTGCCCGTACCAACACCCACGCGTATTTCAGTTTATCTTAAATGGATCAAGTAAACAAATAAAAAAATCACAACAATGAATGCATTTATCATAATTCCAAACAACATAAAATGCGATGGAAAATACTAAATGTTTCATTCCGGGAGAAGGGGGGAGGGGTCTGAACGTTCAGGCATCAGCATCGTATTTATCACTTGTACGAATACACAGCTCTATTACTCGAGTTATCAATTGGCTCATTAATTGAAACAGCAGTTTTTCTTACATGCTACAGAAATATCGCATGCAATTTCAATACATTTAAGAATATCAAAATTAAAATTTCAAAAAAACGCAGTTTTGGCTCTCTACATGTAATTCCTCAGAGCATAAACCAAACATAACTTTCAGTCAAAAGAACATATCATTTTCACCGAATCAGTAATTTTTTCAAGACGCCTACCTTCATCAGAATTTTCACCATCATCTTCCGGAACATACATGTTTTCTGAAATGTACAAAACTAATGAGTGCACAGAGGAAAAACACACAATACCTAACGATTTTCATCAAGGGTGCAGCACTCACCCGCCATCTTGAAACAATCTGCAAGATTCGTTCACGTGATTGGCTGAGTTCTTGAGGCTCGTACACATACCTTCATGCAACTGATAGAAATCAATTTGTAACACTTCCGTTGAGGAATGTCCAACAATATTTCAAAGTATTAAAAACAAAGAAAACGTTCTTGCCATCATTTTCAGAATAACAAGCACTCCAAAATCTGATCATTAAATAGCAGCAGCGATAATTTTACAATATATTCTGTAACTTTTATTGACGCAGACCCGTTTTTGTTTATTCTTAAAAAGCTGTAATGCTTCCGCTTATGAAAATATTAAGAAAAAGTACTTCTAATGTAGAGAAGTACCTATCACGACAATACACAATTTTAGAAGAATAATTTATTGTTTTGGAACAAGTCATTTAGAGAATTGCACTCTAGTATTCTCACCGTTGTCTTTTGCCAATTTCTAGTATCAGGTACCTGTGAGACAAAAAACACTTAAAATAATTTTTAAATAATAATTATTAACAACACATTGAAAAATTAGCGTTTGTAAAACGAAAATATGAAGAAGTTGCATGTTTAAGGCAATTTAAACGGACAATGAACATTTAATCGTTTCTGCTGGCAAAATGTGTGTAGAAAAAACATCCACTGTCCATACTCCAAAATTTTGATGAACAGCTGTATCCTCATCATAAACATCACTCCCGCTGGGGAACTGCCCTTCAGTTGTTCAACTCGACGCGCTTTCGGTGTCGGAGACAGTTGCTACAATTCGAGCACGAGGGTCGCTGACGACAGGGCTTTCTGTGTAGCCTATGTAGACTTCCCTAGCAAAGAGAAAATATTGTAATGCTGAAATCAGCGATTTTTTGACAGAAAGACCCACATTGTCAGGCACTGGAAACGAAAATAGGTATTCATGTTGTTCTTAATAGTAGTTAACTAATTCCTCTAACACGCTGCGTAGTCAGAATCCACGTTTTATGGGTCATTGAAACCGATAAACTGATTGACAGGAAAACGCCAGTTTGTCTGTCCGTCCCTCTGCGGTCAACATTAACTCCTAAACCGTTCAGACCATTTTGTCCAAGATTGATATTGATATTGCTCAATTGATATTGATATCGATCTAAACCAACTCTAGGCCCTGCGAATTTGAAACGAATATTTTGATTTTTGTGGCTACTTAATATGTTCTCAACATCTCAACATTTTCAATTTTTTTTTCAAAAATTGCTCCACATTTTTTTTATAAAACTTTCCTCGGGAAGCGCAGAGAACGCTAAATATGGTGCAGGTCTCATTTTCGGTAAACTTTCCGAATTTTTGCAAAGTGCAAAAGTTTGTTTTTTCGGTCTCTTTCTTCCACTCAATATTGAAGAGAAAGATTTTTCTTTAATGGAATTTTCACATTCGTTAACGAAGAATTCCTTATCAAATTTTCGTTAAAGAAATTGAAACTGCCATTTTTTTCTTAAAGATGTTGCTTCAACAATGGATCAAAATGAAGCACCTGTTGGAATATTTTTTAGACATTTCAAAATCTTTTGACGTCATTGACCATTAAATTTTGCTCTCAAAATTACCTTCATACGGAATCCGTGGTATTGCTTAGATTGAATACCCTTAAACATCGATCGCTAAGAGTATAAATACCGTACTAGCACGAAAGAACATTATTCACTCACCTTCCAATTGTTTGCTAATTGAGCATGAGGTCCCTCATCTTATGCCCTTTACTCTTTCTTTTATACGTAAACGACCATGTCCTCGTCCAATAGAAACGGAAAAATTAATCTGTTCGCTGATGACGCGAATGTTCCATGAAAAAAAGTACGATTTCAGTAGTTTCAAATTGGTTTCGTAATAACAAATTAATTAACGTAATAGTTAAGGAAGGAACAACTGTGTCAATGCATTTTTTGCATTTCAAACAGGAAAGGACATGCGCCATTGAAACTAAACAATATGCATTTGGCTGATATTAAGGTAACAAAATTTCTGGGTCTCAATTCAGTCAAAACTCAAATAGAATATCCGTATAACTAGATTAAACACTAGAATTAAGTACATTGTGTTACGCATTCAGAATTCTTTCTAATTCTGCCAGATTTCATGCAACTCGTTGCGTATATTTTGCAAATGTAAGCTACGTTCCGGCCTGAGATATGGCATAATATTTTGGGGAATCTCGTTCTATAGTATGCAAAATTTGAGACTGTAGAAAAAAATATGAATAATAAGAAAATGTCATCCACTTAATTCCTGCAAACCTTCCTTCACTGATCTTGGAGTTTTACCATTACCTTGCATATTTATCTACGATTCATTAGTTTTTATCAAAACTGACTTACTTTCGGTGGGAACATTTTCATGCAACACTGGCATTTATAATTACAACAAACGTTATAGAAATGACATTCATCAGGTGTCAGTATCAACAGTTAGTTTTCAAATAGATACGTGGCGTAATTAAATAATTTAATCAACTTACTTTTTAAACTTACACTAAAAGGATATTTGTTTAGGAGATACTTTCTACATTATTTTTAGTTCTTATCTATTTATTTATTCTCATATTTACCACGCACTTTAATACGCATTAGTGACATGGCTACTTTTCGCTATACACTTGATATTCTACACACTCTCGCTAAAAGAAATCCACATTAATATATTACGTTACCTTATAATACATTGCCAGATGACATTAAACAATTACAATCAGTACACCAATTGAAATTGAAAGTAAAATATTTTCTGGAGCATAACTGTTTCTATACAATTAGAGACTATAATGACCATAAACATATTTATTTTAACAATGACATAATGCATTAATTTACATATGAATAGTATACTAAGTTTAAAAAAATAATATGCCAGAAGCAAGTAATGTACTTCAGCTTCCGGGTCAATGAGCCCCATCTCGATTAAGATTTTGTCCAGTTTCCCTGATCTATTGAGCAAATGCTTAGATGGCCCCTAGCTTTGCTTCTGGACATAAATGTACTCGTATCTTCACTATGCGCAAGTTTTGTTGAGCTTTCCTTTTGCTAGTAATGGTAAGAGGGCATTGGTTAATATTTTCTTAGTAATTCAAAAAATCAATTCTGCAGTTCGTTCACTTATGCAAATAAGTTTTCTAAAACTCGGGAGCAAAAATGTCTGGTTTTCAAATTTTGCTAATGTCGCTTTTTTTATTTATTTTCATCATTTAACTATTTATTATTAAAATGTTTGGAAGAGATTCTGGAGCTCAAGAAAACGTTAATAAATGTTATTTCTCGCCCACACGTCATATACAGATTATACTGTTTCTTGACTAATAAATCAAAACCAAGACAAGACATGCATAAACATTTTCAAGAAAATAATACCGAATCTTCGTATCTCGGCCAAGTTTTCTGCAGTTGGGACCAATGGTACTTATTCATAAGTCATATACAGTTTATACTGTTTTTGACTAAATAATTCAAAACAATCGAATCATTCAAGACATCTTAAATTAACGTCATGCATAATTTTCGAAAATACGAGTAGTTTTGGCTTAATTTCGCCTGAAATATACGCAATTTCTGTGTAATTATCTTGTCGAAAATGGTTTGAATATTTTTCTTTACATTTATAGATTTAGATTTATTTAATTAAAGAAAACAGTAAAAACTGTATGTGACGTATGGGGGAAAAGATTACCTGCGCACGTTTTCTTGAGTTCCAGAATCCTTTCCCGTCATTTTAACTATAAAAATTTGAAATAAATAAATAAAGATGAATAAAAATTCAAAATAAATAAATAAAAATAAATTTTAAAAACGCGCGAGATTAACAATATTTGAAAAAATAGATATTTTCTTTCCCGAATTATAAAATACTTATTTGCATCGGTACACGAATTGCAAGTATGATTTTTCTGCATTGCTAAAAAAATAACAACTCTCCCTTACCTCTGCCCTTACCTCTACCATTACCATTATAAGCAAAAGGAGAGTTCAAAAAAACGTGCGCATAGTGAAGCTACATTTACGTCCAGAAGCAAAGCAAGGGACCATTTCAGCATTAGCTCAATTGATCACGGAAACTGGACAAAAATCTGATCGAGATGCGGGTCATTGAACCGGAAGTTGAAGTACATTATTTGTTACAAACAGTAAGTCTTTTTAAAAACATTATACAATACAAATGTAAACGAATTCAATATATCACTCTTTTGTTGAAATAAACATTAGTTTTCTTTTTGATAATCAGTGTAATCTCTAACCGTATAAAAACAGTTAAGCAGCAGAAGATTTTACTTTTAACTTAAATTTGTGAACCGACTTTATTTGTAAATCATCTGTTAATGCGTTGTAAAGTAACGTGCATGTATTGTATGTGGATTTCTGATAGTGAGCTGTTGATACTGACACTTGATGAACGTGATTTCTACGACGTGTGTTATAATTATAAATATTAGTATTGCTTGAAAATATGTCCCCACCGTAGTAAGTCAGTTTTGACAAATATTACAGATTCGTAAATAAATAGGCAAGGCAGTGGTAAGATTTCAAGGTCAATGAAGAGAGTCTTTCAGGGATCATGCGGATGGCACTTTTTCATTATTCGAAAAATTTTATTTTGCAATCTAAAGGTCTGAATACTTCATGATGAGTTTACTCAGAATATTATGCCATATCTCAGGCGGGAATGTACAACTGAAAGATACACGCAATGAGCTGCATGAAGGTTGACAGAATTTAAAAGAATTCTAAATGCTTAACATAATGAACTTAATTTTGTGTTTAATTCTGTTTTATGTACATTACATTTGAGGTTTGACTGAATTGAGATACCTAGAGATTTTGTTATCTGAACATCAGCTAATTGCAGATTGTTCATTTTCAATGGAGCATGCGATTGCTGAGATGAAATGTAAAAATGCATTGAAACTGTTTTTCTTTCGTTAACTATTAATTTGTTTAATAAAAAAACCAATTTGAAACTTCTAAAATCGTAATATTTATTGTTTCGTTTTTGCAAAGAACATTCGTGTCATCGGCAAACAGACCCCTTCTTCCGTTTTTAACAGACAAGGGCATATCGTTTACGTAAAACAGAAAGAGGATAGGACCTAA